CCTGGGGTCTCCTCGTCTCCAGAGACGAAGTCAGCAACCCCTTTAGACTTGACTTCCATGTTGGGGTGGGAGGAAGTAGGATGCTACTGCAGGGGCTGAAGCCGCCTCACAAGGCGCTCGGGGCTCTGAGCAGAGAACTATGCGCCCAGGTACCCGGCGCAGGCCAGGACACGCTGCACCGTGGGACGCAGGGGCAGCCGCGTCCTGACCAGGACTCCTCGCAGCTGCCGTAGTGACCCGCGGGATGTTCTCACCGGGCACGGAGCCCGGCCTAGCCTGGGACCACCGGCATCTCCCCTGCCCGCCCGCAGACTTGTGGGGCGCTGTACACAGCAACCGACGCCGAGCGCCAAGTCTGCGCGCCGCGTGGAAGACGCGGGAGGGCGGAGGAGGGCAGGGCTGTGCTTTTACTTTTCCAAAGCTCTCGACTTCACTGCGAAGTTTCCCGGTAGGCGCCTCGACTCCGGGGTCGGAGCCTCCCACCGCCGTTCCTTCCCCTCCCCCCCACCCCGCCCCCAAGAGCCCAGCGAGCGGGAGCCACCGGCCGGGCTTGGAGGCCAGCTCGGTCCTCCGGGCCAGGGACCCAGGCGCCCACAGTGCCGCGCCGCCCTGCCCGCCCCCTCCCCGGGCTCAGCGGGGGTGCTTATCCCCGGGGCGAAACTCGCCGACGGGCGCCCTGCAAGGAGACACCCGCTGCCTCCCGAGGAACTCCTAATACCATCCATACAGCTTTAATGCGTTTATAATTCGATAAGTGATTTCAATTTGAAATTGTTAGTAACTAATTTTATGGGTAATTTTTCCACATCAAATATTTAAGCATCAGATTAAGGGAGCCAGTTCCGACACAGGATAATAAGGGGGTTTCCCCCCCACCCCCCGCGCCTCCGCCTCCCTCCGTTTCCTACCGAGTCGTTTTTCCAAATCCCCAAAAGGTGGCAGTCGAAGCCGACATTCTTCTTTTCCTGCGGCTCTGCGAAGGGAGGGGGGAGAAAGGGGGCGAGGGAGGGACGGAGGGAGGGAGAGAAAGAGAGGAGGAGGAGGGAAGGGAAGGAAGGAGAGAGTGCGAGAGGGGGGCAGGAGGGAGGGAGCGAGAGGAGAGGGAGAAACTAGACGTTGCCTGGACTTTTCAAACTAATTCTTTCACACGTTTCTAATAAAAGCAAGAAGCAGTGGTGAATTTCCTGGAAATGTCCTGGCAGAACAGAAAGCCAAAAACGTGCCTGTGGGCTCAGAGTAGGAGATGTGAGAAACTCAGCACTTTCAAACTAAACCCTCAATTCCGAGGGGAAAAAAAAAGACAAGGGGGAGAGGGGAGACCGGGAGAGAGGCAGACTCCCTTTTTGATATTTCTTTGTATTTTAACATTATATACACATACCAAACAACTAAGCAACTTGTTTCCTCCAAGACAGGACTCTGCCAATTACGTAGTGGGAGAAGAGGTAGGGGTGGGGAAAGGTGATAGGTGGGGGGCCAACTGCTGTCTGCGGACGGGGGCTGAGGCCAGCAGCGGATGAATCGCAGACCAGTTGCCAAAACTTTTTTTTTTTTCCCCCTGCTGCTGCTGCTGCTGCTGCTGCTGCTGCTGCTTTTGCTGCTGCGGCTGCGGCTGCCTTTGCTGCTGCCTTTGCTTTGAATGTGGGTAACTAGGAAACAGCAAGCCGTCTGAGAAGACGGAATTTCCAACGTGTAAAATGTTCTTAACGGAACCATTGAGCGAGTGCAATAAGGCGTGAGGGGGAACTAATCTTCCCATTTAAATGTTTGTGGCAATTTTATCTAAATGAATTTTAATGCTAAACGAGGGTAATTCCCCATTTGTAGCGCGTTTACTTCTCTTTCCTGTGCTTCTAAAGCAGTCGAACATCATGCAATGAACAATAACAATAAAAATACTGTCAAGGCATATTATTCATTTTGAATGTGTTATAATTACAGCTGATTAAATATGATAGGGTAAAATATTTTTAATTTTTTTTGAAAAATATTTAAATCATACTAAAAAGTAGTCTCGTTCAGCCAGCGCCCCCCTCTCCCCCTCACGAAATAAAAATAAAAAGCAGGTACAATTATGTGTCCTTGTTTAGAAGAGGGCGTTTTAGTTTTGCCTTTTAAGAAACATCAAAAAACACTCTCAGCACCTCTATTATTTCCCTCTTTCGGATAAGTGTCCTCCATAACCTCTGAGCTGGCTCTGAAATTTACTAGAGGAAAAGCTAAAATAGCATTAAGGGGGAGGTGGGGGCGTCGAGGCAGGGAAGAAAGGATCTAGGGAGAGCAAGACTGTCACAAAACCGTCACACAGAGGGGGGAACGCAGGGAAAGAACACAGTTTATTTTTTTTTCTAATTCACTGGACACTAATCTAGATTCTTCATAGCCTCTACATTGCCTAATTCACATGTACCCTTCTGCGCCTCTCCTCTCTTCTCTCTCTCTTCCTCTCTCTCTTCCTCTCTCTCTCTCTCTCTCTCCCTCCCTCCCTCCCTCCCTCCCTCTCCCTCTCCCTCTCCCTCTCTTCCTCCTCCCTCCTTTCTTCCTTCCTCCCCTTTCTTTCCCTCCCCCACCCGGCAAGAGCTTCCTCAAGAATACAGGCTGAAAATAACCAACTCACCCAGGCATGTACTGGGGAGGAGGGGCAAATGGATGGTTAGTTTATAAAGTTTATGATTAATTTTTAAAGTAAATAAATGGTTGTTAACTGCTAGTAAGCACCTATCAAAAGAGAAGTATTTCACTAATATGGACTATTTATGTAGACGAAGAATTGCCACTGGGTCCAAATGGGAAATTTAAACAATCCCATATATGGGGTGGGGGCGTAGGG